TGGTGTAAAGATTTAATAATTAAAATCACTTTTTTTTCTTCATAAATATTATGGCATGTTTATGCAATTTTGTGTATAATCGTAATAATTCATTTTTTTGCATAAACTTTTCTTCATGTAATGTCGTCATAAAATTACAGATAATTTTTGTAAATGTATGAATACATGAAATATCGTTCATATGACGTTATATTGCGCTCATACTTATTTAGAAAGAAATTTAGTAAATATGACAGCTATTTTACGTAAATAGTTTGTCGCAAAAATTCAACAACTGGTTTACTGATTTTTAATTCCTAAATTTGATCATTTATTTACTAGTATATATTTTTATTCATTGAATGTAGAACATATGTTTCAAATTTGATCCAAATTTGTTTTCAAAATCGTCTGATCCATTCATGATCATCACGAGTGGCTATCGGGGTTACGTTGGACTGTCTCGATGCGATGTTTATAATTTTCGGTAAACGGAGATCAGATAGGAGAACAATACATGAGTTTAGATTTCACCAGAGAGTTATACAGTGTAATTATGGATTTTGTTAATTTAAATTTAGATGTTTACCGTTTAATAAAGCCGAGCATTTTCAGAGAATCGTTAATAATGTTAATAATCAAAATGTTTGTAATCATGATCACTTACAACACGATTTCGATTACAGCGTAACACTTAACATTTTTCAATATTTAGAGACAGTTTGTTTTCATCACACCATTTTTGTAAAGCAGAAGTAAAGTGTCATCATTCGGATTTTTAAAAACCGCCAAAATTTACAGTCATCGGCGTATAAAAGAAAAGATGAATGCTTAAAAGCAGAGCCAATATCGTTAATGAAAATGTTAAAACAAAAGGGACCAATAATGGAGCCTTGAGGCACACCAGAAGTTACTTTAATAATAGGCGATTTACTTATTTTATATTTAACGATTTGGGTTCTGTCAGTTAAGTAACTTCTAAACCAACTTGGTGATATACTTTGCAAATTGTATGATGATAATTTATCAACCAAAATGTCAATATTCACTCTATCAAATGCTTTGCTAAAATCAGTATAAATTACATCTATTTGGTTACCATTATCGAGAGAGTTTAGCAAACTATCCGAAAAAAGAGTTAAATTAGTTAAGGTGGAACGACCACCAAAAAAACCATGTTGTTGCGGAATAATAATGTCATCAATTTGAGGTTTCAAAAAATCAAAAACAAAAGTTTCAAAGACTGCTCACATTACAAAGTATACTTATAGGGCGATAGTTTTTAGCACATGTTTTACCACCGGATTTGAAAACCGGAGTAACGTAGCTAATTTTCCATTTTTGAGGAAACATTCCCTCAGTTATTTAATTAATGATTGCTAATTTTGAAGTATTCAGTTAGAAATAAACAGCCTAAACAAATTGATGGTGTTAAATGTGTATAGTTGTTGCACATACACAAATTTTAATATATGCTTGGTTGCATATGCATATTACATATATTATGAAAATATCGCCGAAATTAAAATGCAAGTGCTGTGCAACACCGACAACTGGTACCACCGTTCTTTGGACAGTTCAGTTATGTTGTTATTCATAGATTACTAGATTTTTGGAATATAAAATCAGTAATCAGTTTTGAAAGAAATTCTTTCTTGTATTCAAGGATTACCAGATCTGTTTTGTTTCAACAACTTTTTAAATAGTTGTAACTGTAATATTGGTTTGCTTTAAATATGTCTATTTCGCTTTTTTTGGATAATTAGCATAGTGCCCAAGAGTAAAATAACGCGCGTAGAATGTATACCTACTATCCTTGTATTCTACAGGTAGTGAAAATATTTAGGAGGCCTCTGAAGTGTTAAATTCACCACTGTTTTCCCTGAAAAGTGATAAACTGTACATAAATATAAATTTCATTTATTTTACAAAGATATTTAAAATTACCTTTTTATGAAAATGGGTCTTAAGAAAATTAAAAACAAAGAAAAACTTTCTGAAATAATTTTGTTATTTATGTTTGTTGTTAATTAATTGTAAAATGTTAACATCTTTCATTTCAAAAATGTCTTGAACATATTATAAAAAAAATAAATGTATCCCTCATTTAACTTTTTGCTGTTTACCTATTATCTATGCTGTTTACACTTGTGTAATGTTTTTTTATACATAATCATAAGCCGACATATGCAAGCCACTTATAACATAAAAATATTGTATATACATTTATTTTTTGAAAGTTATCATTTATGGGAACAAAAGAGACAACTGCTGTTAGTGTCCAATTTTAACAACGTCAATATTGTAGATAATGTTTGCTACCTTTATGTTTCATAAATTATAATTTTGTGAAAATTATTTGTTCCAGGAAGTAATTTTTATTAAGTAATAGTTGCAATAGTTAAATGTATGCTTGGGAGTAACAAAACTTCTTTCTTAAAAATGTATTAAAATATCTTTTTGTTTACATGTCAAAAATATTAACTAATTTAATACTAGCACCCCAGCAGCGTAACTCACAGAAGAATCACTCATTTGTCTACACTTTTGAGACTGTGAATAGTTGAGGAATTTTAAATTTGCAATTTTACTGTTGTCTGTTTTAATTAATTCCTCGATAGATCTTAATAAAATTAATATTGGGTTCCTGCCACAGATTGTGTTTCCATATTTTTTGAGATATGTTCCAAATTTTTCTGGATTTACTTCTTCTATAATTTTCATACCCATTCTATCTAGTTGTTCAATAGATTGGAAAATTTCCTGGTGAGAATTATCATAGTATGTAAAACTGAATCTTTTCCCCCAGTGACAGAAATCGGAAGAAATAATAAACAGATTATTAGAATCTAATAAATATTTTGCAAAAATTTGTCCATACAATGATTCCTGTTTTGCTGACAATGATCCAACAAGTACAGGAACTATACTAAACTGTGATTTATGATTTTCCATAATTTTTGCTATAAATGGTAAATGCATTTCAATGCTATGTTCTGTTTCATCTGTATTTAAATCAACAGATTCAAAATGCTTAGAATTTTTTAATTCTTCTATTACTTCCAGATCAACGGTAAGATCATAGAAAGGAGTTTCATATTTTTCTGCTTCAGGTAAGGCACAACCAGAAAAGCGAGAAAAATGAGATGGTCCAAAAATAAATATTCTTTTTACTATCGAAGGATCTATTTGTTTATAAGCAAATGCACTGCAAGAGCCACAATAACGATATCCAGCGTGGGGAGCTATAATTGCTTTTGCAGGGCTGTGAAAAGCATCAACTTTCTCTATCCATGTTCCTAACTGGTTAGAAAGCTCTGTTGATTTGCTGTTATACCAACTGCCTGCATGTGATGCGCTTCTTGTTATTGACATATTATTTTTATTTAATAATCTAGTACTTCTGTAATATAATTTTCACGTTCACTGCCTTTCCAATTTTAAGCTTCATTCACTTTTCGCTCGAAAGTAGCGACCATGTAGCGACTGGGGAGCGTACAAGAGCTATCAAAACGAATTTTGCCGAAAATGCTCGAGTCACAAACTTCCTTTAGACTGTACCTAAGTGCATTTGAACCGTAGGTCTCAACCGTAGATCTGAACATGGTCTGAATTAAGAGGAACCCAACCCAAGAAAAATAGACTAACACCACAGTTAAACCTAACACTAAATATAGGAGTCATAGGGTGTAATGTCTGTCACTTGTCAAATAGTTTATACAAAGGTCCCAGGATGGCGCTGCGGTACGTCGTGATTTGGGCCTTTGGGTCGCTTAAGAAGAAAAGCGTTTTGTCCTTAAAACAGGTGCAATCGTGCAACATAGAAATTCAACAGTACTTTAGCGCGGACAACATTGTTGACACTTTCTATGGCTGGCTCGTAGGCGCCGGGAATCCCTTATATAGGGTGTCCCAGTTATAATAATTAATATTTATACCACAGATTCCTACGGACATTTGGAACATAAAATGTTATAACACTTTTGACTTTTGAAACAAAATAAAAAATTATAAAATTATAACAGTTTTGATGCCGGCCCTGCACAATCGCAAATTAATNAATGCAAACGTATGTTTACGCGATGAAAAATATTAAAATAAAACACATTTCAACTTTGCACTTTGGTACATTTAATTTCAATTATATACAAGCAATTTTAAATGTATGTGGTGAATATAAATATTACAATATTATAATTTCTTATATGTTACTTAACATGAAGCTTGCTTTAGCATCTTTCTTATTTAAAATATCTATTAAGAATATAAATCATTTCCTCCTTAGGCTACCAAAAAATACTGTTATTAAAACCCAATTCAATAGATAACTTGGTATTTACTGCTTAACAAGTAAATTAAAGACTACATTAATGGTAATAGGGAATGCCAGTTATGTGCTCACATTTACAAAAGAATAACAAGAATAAAGCAAAAATACTTAATAAAATTAAATTTGTTATGAAAGTAAGTTTTACTGTGTTTTTTTATCAGTGGCTTGGTAATAATTTGGTGGGTTCTCCTAAAAAGGTGTACAGAATTTTAGATAATTATAAAAGAAATATTTCCAAAATATTACTTACATAGTATGCTGGTGGTGGTACATACGCCATTTGAGGCCTATTGGGATCATAGTAAGCAGATTGAGCTGCTTCGGCAGCTTTTGCATCTATAGTTCAAAAATTAATCAAAAACACCATAGTCAATATTATTATTTATACTACGATAAAAGAATTGATTTCTATAAGTTGCATATTACAATTATTTAATTATTTAAAAACCTTATGCTTTCAACTTTATCAATAGCATATATTTTATGCAGCTGGACTTCATCAAATACATCAAGACAAAAGTTCACTACTAAAGAAATTTGTTATATTTATTTATTATTCATTACCTGCGGAACTCATTGAATTGTGTTGAAAACCAGTTGCCCCTTGTGAGGGATAACCATTTTGAGGAGGATAGCCACCTTGTTGTGGAGGGTATCCACCTTGTTGTGGAGGATATCCACCTTGTTGAGCAAGATATCCACCTTGCTGAGGAGGATATCCACCTTGTTGAGGTGGGTAACCACCTTGTTGAGGAGGGTAACTACCTTGTTGAGGAGGGTAACTACCTTGTTGAGAAGGATATCCACCTTGTTGTGGTGGGGGATAGTTACCTTGCTGAGGTGGAGTTTGAAAGCCAATAACACCTGGATATGGAGGAGGTGCATCACTCATAAAAACAGTATTACTAGGAGGACGATCAGGAAATGCATTCATTGCAGTGGGGGGTATCCATCCATAGTATGCTGTTGGATTAAATGCATAAGCTGAAGGAGGGGCCTCGTACCAGTTTCCTTGAGGTGGATTATAAGGTGGTGGTTCACTACTATATCCTTGTCTTGTTGCTAAAAATATTATAGGTTATGTATAATATTAAACTACATTAACATTGAATTTTAAATACCTAAATGTGCAGCTTTCAACATTGCTGTCCCAAAATCTATGGCTCCTCCATGTTTGAAAGTTAACTTAAATTTAGCTTCACCTATCCAATTACCATTAGGTTGTGATCTTACTTTGCCTTTTATATAATTTGCTCCAAAAACAGGTTGTTCTATATCCACCTAAATTAAAAAAAAAAGTTTAAAAATATATCTCAGCTAAAGCAACAAATTTTACAATCTTACATCACTTAATGCAACAAAAGGAAAACTGAAGGATTGCATAGGTTCTTTATCACTTATAGCATTATAGATCATTCTGTGTGTTGTTAAATACATCCTGCCATGTTTCTTTCCAGAAAATACTGGATCATCCTGCCCAGACCATTCCAAAGTAACATTATCAGAAAAGAGGAGAATACTGCAAAAATGCTAAATTGAAAAACTTCCTCACGTTTTAAATATGACAAATATAAATAAACACTTACCTTTCACCTGAATGTATCAATACACCACCATTTAAATGTGCAGTATTTAACGCCATGTTTGGAAAGTATATTTGTTTTTTTTTTAATTTCTTTAGCAAGCAAATTAATCAACTGTCACAATTTCAAAATATATAAAATATAGAACAAGCCTACTTTCCTTATTTAAATCAATAAATTTGTTAACTGTTTCGCGACGATCGTAAATGTTTTAGTATGAAAATGTGAATTCAACCAAGTCAACTAAAGTTTTTTTTATATTATTATGCAGATATGATTCAGATTCAGAGGGCTCGTCGTAGACTATCAATGACAGATTACCAACTCTGACAAATGACAAACTATGAACAATGTTAACGATGTTAACCATAGATGTCAACCATATGTCACGTGGTCACGTGTTATATTTATGTCTTATTTATGTCAAAATGACTAATTATTATTGGAAGTGGTTCTTGTATGGCATGACTATGTTTTTTAATATAAAATAATCGTCCAACCTCGTTTATTAATGTTAAACCTACACGGAAGTGAAAAAAGACGATATTAACATAGCAAAAAATACTATAAATCACATTCAGGTCTATATTGCTGTGAACAAAAAAGAAGTACATAATCATCACAACATTCACTTCGTGAGTGTTACCTTTCTTTACCATAACCTTATGATCCTAAAAATTTAATTTTGTTGGATTAGTTTTTAATTTTAATCTACTTAGAGTTGTTGTTAGTTTAGAAAGACTAACGTAGATTAACAATGTAATTCTATCGGTTGGGAATAGAATAAATACGTGCATCAAGAGGCCACTGGTTGTCTAGAGGCCATATGGTAGGCTCGATGAGCTATTCACTACTGCGCTAAGCAGTTTGAGTTATGCTTATCGCAAAATTCTATCAGTCTATCTCCCTTTTTAGGTTTTCTTGCCCTTTCACTAAACTTAACATGTCTTCTATATCTGTATAAACCGCTCCTACGTCTTCATCACTGAAAGATTATGTAGGCATGTAGACCTGCACTAATACCGTTTTTACCGGCTTCGAGTTTAATTTAACCATAACTATCTATCACTTTTTTGTAAATAACGTTGTATATTTTGCCCTGCATTCCTACGCATAACAATTCCTACCCCCGTATTACCTTCCACCTATACTGTATGTATTATTCTAAAGTCTCCACTCCAGAAGTCTTCAGCTTCGGGCCAACGGACTTCACTAATGCCTACTATATCTAATTCTAATTTAACCATCTAAACTTTTAAATTTTCCGATTTCCCTATTTGCCTCATTGTTCACGCTCCGACTTGGTGAAATATAGCACCTACCCATATTGCACTTATTGATGATATCCCCCAAAGTAGTTCCCGTCCGGACATCCGAATGGGGGACTAGTTTACGTCCGGAGTGCTTTACTCCAAAAGACGTCATCATTTTAGTATGGTGTGTTATACTTGGGATATCATAATGTGGTGGTTTCCCGTTGCCTTCCACATCGTAGTATTGTGTCGGCTGAAGAGGACCTTAATTGGTCTTAGAACGGCCTGAGGTAGAGGGGTTTTAATTTTAAAATTTTAATAAATTTTAAGGACTTCTTCCTCGGGAATCCGACATTACCTAGTTGTACGGACGGCTAGGTGTCTTTTGAAGATTTCCCCCCTTCCACGAAAACATAAAAAAAAATATTGTGCATCAGGATGCCATCCAATGTTCGTGATCTCTGCTACCCTGAGTACTGTCTTAGTCTGGTTTCTCTTTACGTAACCGGAAAGAGTTTCGTCAAGGTTTAAGTCCTGTCGGATCAGTACACAATGTATAATAGTCAATAAAATGTCAGATTGAAAGGCGATTATCTACGGTTCTAGATGATAAAAAAATTTTTTTCGTACACCGCTGTACACAGAAATTTTCAAATTATAATTATGCAAAGTTTAAATTTTTTAGAAAAATCCCTTACGCTGCGTTTACACACACGGTTTTCTAACGGCAACCGTGCCGTGCCGTGCGGTAATTTCATTTGCGTTGCATAGCAGTCGACGGAAAACACATACGCATAATAAAACCAGCACATTCTGGCTCCATGTATTTTAATTATAAATATTATTTTTCCACTGTTTTACTACCAGTGGTAGATTCTGGCTACCAATCCTCCTATGTAGATATTGGGGCATAAGACGTTCTCTCGCCGCATGACCAAAGTTTAACTCGGCAGCGAAGATATTGAAAATTGGGTGAACGGTTCTAGAACGGCCTGCGGTAAAGGGGTTTTAGTTTTGGTAGGTCCTCCTAGGAGAGAATTTAAAACTATAACTACTACTAAATTATAGTCTCAAGTGTTACCTACTAGGAGCTTCGATAGACTATGGTGGGTTTCACGTACTATGCACCACCGACATACATAAGTGCCGGTTAAACTTGAACGGATTATGACTAGAAAAAACCAAAAATGGCGCGGTAAACGCCATGTATAGTACGATGCTACATTTTAGGATTACATATGCTCCAACAAGGTCCATTTAAATATATGGATATCTACTTACTGCGTAGCTAACCTCAACGTGATAGGCACGTTATCATTATCGAATAAAATAATTCGATGTGGTCTGTATTCTGTCGAAACTGCCAGACGCGCATCGCGATTTCGATCTTTCTGGATCTCATCAGCGCGTCGCAGACAACTCCGACAAAACGCAGACCAACTTTTACCTGCTGTTTTAACAGCGCGTTTTAGAAAATATCAAAAATGGCGCGGTAAACGCCATCTACAGACCACATCGAATTATTTTATTGGATTATGACTAGTTTATAATTATGTTCTAGCGTAATTAATTACGCTTCTTTCACACATACGGTTTTTTACCGTGATCGTGTACAGCAACGGTGCCGTGTATAATAGTAATACATTGTTTTATATGCAAACTTTCACACAATACGGTTTGCTACCGGAGCACGGCATGGGGACTGCAACGGCACGGCGCCGGAGCCGTGTACGGCAACGTGAGGCAAGCAAGTGTATAAAAATATGCACACATGCCGTGTGTTCACACGGCAAAGATTGTATTCAGAATTTTTTTTCTCTCTGAATTGTGCAGTTAGACAGAAGAAATTATATAGTATATCGAAATAATGGTTATTGAAATAGATAAGTTGCTAACTACATTTGTTGAACAGCGACCAGCGCTATGGGATAAAACCACTGATGAATTTAAAAATAGAAACAAGAAATTACAGGGTTGAAAGGAAAGTTGTAGGATTCTGAAGGATGACTGATGAAATATCAGAAAAGCAACAAGACGATATACGAAGAATAATGCTAAAAATTATATGCCATATCATTATTAACAATATGCGTTTTTTTATTTCGTCCATTTTGACCACGTATCAAAACAAAACTAAACTCGAAGTGAAAAACCGTGTGCCGTGTGAACGCAAAGCAAATGAAATTACGGCACGGTTGCTGTTAGAAAACCGTATATGTGAAAGAAGCGTTAGTCGTGGACAAAACAGTTGCAATTTTTGGATAACAATTGGAAAAAAAGGCAAAAGATGGGTGAAATGTTATAAATAAAGCGGTTGGTTTACAAAGCACTAGAATTTTGTAAAATTTTATTCTTGTTTATTAAGAATGATTTTAAAGGTATTAGTCAATAAAAACGGGAAAAATAAATTTGTCTTGCAATTATAACGACCACGGAAATCACTTCTCATATTACGTTTTAGATCTAATTGATTATTTCGAATAAGCTCGAATTATGCCGTAAGCCTGCTTTTGATTTCCAGGATGTTTTATTTTAATCATAATATTTATTTATTTATTTAAAGTAGATACAACAGGCCCATACGGCCCAAAAATATAATAATGAATACATTAGCATATTGATAAGTAAAAATTCCTTATTACATACTAGGATATCGCAAAACTGTTTGAAGATAATTTCGAATTGCACAGATGTTCATTTGAAATTTATCATCATTAAAAAATTGGTTGGCTAGTCTAGTCAGTCTTGGAATTACAGAGTTATATAAATAGTTAGTTCTACAAAACGGTTCTATAAAAACTACATCATTTCTTGTGTTATAAAATCTATCGTATCTAATAAACCTAGCAATTAAGTCATCACATTTGATTTGACCAGAAAAGATTTTATAAATGAATAATAGATCTTGAAAAGTACGTGCAGATTCAAGAGAGGGTATCTTGACAAGAGATGCGATCTCACGATAATCATGGCTTAACATTGGGTTTTGTACTTTGCATTTAAAAGCTAGATATGAGAGAAACTTATGTTGGACTGTTTCGATGCGATGTTTATAATTTTCGGTAAACGGAGACCAGATAGGAGAACAATACATGAGTTTAGATTTCATACAGTGTAATTGTAGATTTTGTTAATTTAAATTTAGATGTTTGCCGTTTAATAAAGCCGAGCATTTTTAGAGAATCGTTAATAATATAATCAAAATGTTTGTCGAAGCTTAGTTTTGAATCAATCAAAATCCCTAGATCTTTAATACAAGATGTTTCAGTAATACTATGATCAAGTAATTTATAATCATGATCACTTACAACACGATTTCTATTACAGCGTAACACTTTCCATTTTTCAATATTTAGAGACAGCTTGTTTTCATCACACCATTTTTGTAAAGCAGAAAGATCAGATTGAAGTAAAGTGTGATCATTCGGATTTTTAATAACTGTTGAGTGATAAATTTTATAATGAGTTGCATGCAGTGTGGGTGGTGTCATCTCTTAATATAAAAAGGAAGGAAACAGTTGTTCTCCTCCTTGCCGCTTGGTGCGTGGTTGGATTAATAGAATAAAATATTTTTTTTCACAAGTTATACAGTTTTAGTTGATTAAAATAAAATAAAAAGTAAATAAGAAATCTTACTCAATTCTTAATATTTCTTGACCCACAACAATAAATCCTACAAATGGCGTGGTAAGCGTCATCTGTAGTACAATGCTACATTTAGTGGAATTCAATATGGTCAACAAGGTCCATTTAAATAGATGGATATCTACTTGCTGAACTGAATCCACACCGTAGGTCACTACTACGTGATAGGCACGTTACCAAAATCAAACATAGAAACTCGAAGTGGTCAGTTTAGCAAGTAGCCATCTATTTAAA